GCTGGGTTTTGTGGCAGAGGGACGTGTCCCTGTTGTCGCCGGCAGCGAGCGGGGCCGAGGCCGGCTGGCCCTGCCGTGGGGTCGGGCAGGTGCCGCTCGGGGCGTTTTTCTTTGCAGATCCCAACCGTGCGGTGCAGCCGGCGCTGGCGGAAGAGTTTTGGGAGGGAGATGATGACAGGCTGATGAAACCAATCAAACAATGAAGTAATCATAAATCCCCGGTGCTGGCGGCGAAGGCGGGAGGAGCTGCAGGCTGGAGGAGCTGAGGTCCTAACGAAGCCATCCTGCTCGGCAGCAAAAACCCCGGGAGGCCGAAGTACTGAAAGGCAGCCAAGGTCCTGTCATCGGGGCCGATGGACAGAGACAGCCCCGTGTGGACGAAGGCAGGGAAAATCCTGCTGGCAGCTCCGGGAGATCAGTGCGGAGAGCACAGGGAACGGTGGCAGGAAGGAGGAGTGGTGGCTCCCCGGGGAGCTGGCGGAGGAGTCCTGGCACTGCTTTGTTTGCTCTTCCCAAATTGGTCTGTGAAACCTGAATCTTGGGACCAAAGGCTGAGGAAGCTTGTCACAGGCTGCTGGCCAGGATGGGAGATGGTTCCTGCAGCGGAGGGCAGCATGGATGGGTGTGACAGGGCCTGACCCTGCCCTGCAGCTGGAACATCTGCACTGGGAGAGCAGCTCCTGACTGGGAGCCCGTGCCTGGCTGGGCGCTCATTGGCTTTGCTGAAGACAATCCTGCTGCCGAGCGGGCTGCAAGGCAAGGAGCTGGTATGAGAATTGCTGGATAACTTGGAATTCAGTGCCAATTCAGTCCTAAACTGGGGGCACTGGGAGTCCCGGTTGCTGCAGGTGCTTCGGTGGAGGTTTAGTGCTGGTTCCGGTGGTGTCCGTGGTGCTCCAGCGTTCCCTGGCGCTGCTGTGGAGCCAGCTGGACATGGAGACATGTCCCACCCATGGCCTCTTTGAGGTGGCTGCTCCTGCTGGGCTGTGGGATGCTGGCAGAGGGGCTGTTCCCACACCACTGCCAGCAGCCAATGTCCCCGTGCCATGTGTGAGCAGCCACCTCCCGGACACACTCGGCTTGTCCTGAGTGGCATTGGATGGCCCTGGGGTGGCACATGGATGCAGGAACCCTTTTCCTTGGCCTGTTTTGCTGCTTTGGGGGAGGTGGGAGGTGGCCTGGCCGGAGGCTGCCTGGCCATGGTGGGTGCCGGTGGCTCCGAGCCCCGGTGAGATTCCCGTCCTGCCCCCACAGCCACGTTGTCCTCGTTAGGCCAAGGTGCCTTTGCGAGCCCTCCCTGGGCTCCAGCGTGCCACAGCCCCCGGGAAGCACAGCTCATATCTGGTTTGTGCGTCCCAGCGGCACAGAAGAGAGGAGAGGATGTCCCTGGAACGGGGTCAGGCAGGAATGGAGGTGGCAGGGGCTGGAATCGGAGTGGGGCGCTGGGAGGCAGCGGCTCAGTGTGGGGGCCCCTCATTCCAGTGACACCAGGGTGGTGCTGGCATGTGGAGAACTGCGAGAGGGGATGGCTCTGGCAGGGCCCAGGGTGTGACTTTGCTGGCTCAGTGTGTTGTTTAGCGGAAACAGGGCTGTTTTGGAAGCTGTTTGGGGTGTGGAGGGTGTGTCATCCCCTCCTGAGGGATGCCCAGGCCTCCAGCCTGCTGGCCTTGGGTGGGAGTCGGTGTCACCTGCTCATAACTGAGGGTTTGGGGATGGAAATGGGGAAATCAAAGCTCTGCCAAGTGCAGGGACAGAGCAGTGTGGGCCTGTGCCCATCCCACTGCTGCATTTCACATTTTTCCCCTCTTTAAAGAGGAATCTGGGTCTTGCAGAGCTCCTGCCCTGCATAGATTTTCCCTTCATCTTCCCAATTCCTTGCCCCAGAACAGCCCACGGTGTCACGGTGCGAGTCCCAGCCCCTGGTGCTCAACCGTGCATCAGGCTCAGCCAAACCCTTTTCCTGTAACCTCCTGCAATAACCGGATTGTTTTTCCGTCAGTCTCTGATGTGGCCAGAGGGGTTTTTTTCCCCCTTTTTCCCTCTTAATTTCCAAGCAGCCGCTGATCCAGCAGCCTCCTCTGCGGGAGCCTGGGGCAACTCTCCCGGGCGGCCTCTGCTCCTCTCAATGAGCTCCTAATGAGTTTGCAATTAGTTATGGGTAGAGCCGATGTGCCCAGGGCTGGATCCAGAGCAGGACAAAGCATCCCCCAGCAGGGAACGGAGCTGGGGCAGGATTGTCGGTGCCAGGCTCGGCTCCCTGCTGGATGCTGGGCTGTGGATACGGGATGATGTCCTGCCGGGATCTGCTCCACCGTGCTGGGGATGGAGCCGGGAGGTTTGGGAAGAGGAGCGGCAGCTGCCGACGGGAGACGAGTGGCTGCCTATAAATACCTGCCAGGGAGCAAGGAAGAGGTGGGTGGATTATCCTCCTCACTCAATGAGATAAACGGTTCTGAAGCTTAAACACAGAACAATTTTAGTCTGAATAGTAGGAGAAATGGCTCAGGATGCGGAGATGACGGCAGGAACCGCCTGTGGTGAGCGGCAGGTCCCGGGGCCACGTGGCAGCAGCTTCACTGCCTCTGTCACTCCCGGGATCTTGAACCCTTGGGGGGCTTTGCCAGGACTCGGCCGGGATGAGCATCCTTCCTCCCTGCTTGGGAAAGCTCCTTCAGGAACACCTGAAACTGGAGAGGGTGCGTTTGGCTTCCTTCGGATGCGGTGCTGACTCCTCTTTTGGGGGTTTTGGGGTGGGAGAGGAGCTGGGCTCTGGGAAAAGGCTCCGTTCTGCCTCTGGAGTGACCCGACCCGGCGAGAGGCCACACAGGTGATCCTTGGTGTGACTGGCCTGGCTGCAGAAGGATGTGGGACTCAACCCCAGCCGGGCCAAGCCGGTGGCATCTCCTGCCGCTCTGGCACTGCCATCCCTCCGTGTCCCGCCATTCCCGCATCCCTGCTGTCCCCGGGAGTGCACGGAGCTGGAAGAGAGCTCTCGCTGCCTCCTGCTGCCGCCCCGCTTCGCTGCTCACATCAAACCCAACATGTTTTCAAAAGCCTTTCAATTTTTAATGAAAACTTCTGTGTTTACGCTTTCCTTGGCCTTGGCGTGTCGGTATTTCGGTCGCCGCTGCTGTTTGGTTTCTCCTGGGATCGCTGGTGGCCCCGTGGTGCCGAGAGCCCTGACGAGGGTTGTTGTTGGGAGCCGGCACTGCGGCAGGATCCCGGCACATCCCAATCCCTGGCAGCACATCCCGGTGCCAGCTGTGCCAGCCCACGCCGCAGCACGGCACCTGACTCGGTGGATCCCTGCTTCCCGTGGACGTTCCTCGGTTGCTGGTTGGGAAGGAGACACCTGGAAACCCCAACAGGCTGAGCCAAGGGGAAGAGCAAACAGCCCTTGAGTTGGAGAGCACTTCCACAAGCTGCCAGTCCTCCCTCTCCTCTCTCCCATCCAACCAGCGGGGTTCTTCCTCAAACCCAACCTTCCCAACTCGAATAATTGCATTTCAAAGACGGTTAATTAAGGGATATTGATGAGCGCAATCGTAAATCCAAGCGTAGCCGGAATTCTTTGTGCAGGATGCTGGGGGCTGTTCTCAGTCCTGCCTCCAGCGAGCTGCTGCTGATCCACCTCCACCTCCAGCACCCAGACGCTGAGATGGTGCTCCTCTGCCAGGGGGCCAATGAAACACTATGGAGATGAGCTGCTTCGGAGATCTTATGAGTCAAACTGTTACATTTTTGGAACATCATGATGTTGAAGTTCCTTTTCTATTTTTTCCCCAACTTCCCAGGGAAAAAATATAACTATAATAAGTGAAGAAGCTGAGCTTTGGTTTGGGATGACAGGCAGCTTAGTGGGGGGAAGGAAGGAAGGGAGGAAGGAAGGAAGGAGGGAGAAGTTGGAGATCCGACTCAGCCTTATTGGGAAGGGGCTGGGAGGATCCTTCTGTGATCTTGATCCGTGGGGTGCTGCAGGTGCTTTGTGGGGTGTCTGGCACCATTTGGGGTGGCTGTCACAGCCCCTGCGTGGGGCTCAGTCCTTGGGCACCACCTGGGCTCTCTCTGTCCATCCTCGTCCACCTGCAGCCACCGAGTGCCCGTCCCCACGTTCCTGGCTGCCCGGGGTTTGTGCTTCTGCAGTGACAGAGGGTGAGGCAGTGCCCTGAAGACATCAGAGGAGATGCTGGAGTGGTTTCACTGCTGTGGTGGTGTGATGGGTGATTCCAATCTTGGATCTTCTTGTGGGAATGGTCAGAGGAGAAAACCATCCATGATTTGTTGGGAGTGAGGAGTGTTTGTCCATGTGCTGCTGGCTGGGCTGGCCTCTGCTCTGCTTTCGTGAGATCCCACCGGGAATGCTGCATCCAGCTCTTGGTCCCCAGCACAGGAAAGACATGGTAATGTTGGAGCAAGTCCAGAGGAGGCCACAATGATGATTATTGGGATGGAACACCTCTGCTGTGAGGAAAAGATGAGAGAATTTGGATTGTTCAGCCTGGAAAAGACAAGACTCTGGAAGACGTTAAAGACCATTTCAGTGCCTCAAGGGGCTTCAGGAGAGCTGGAGAAGGACTTGGGACAAGGGATGGAGGAACAGGACACAGGGAATGGCTTCCCACTGCCAGAGGGCAGGGATGGATGGGATATTGGGAAGGAATTATTCCCTATGAAGGTGTGAGACCCTGGCACAGGGTGCCCAGAGAAGCTGTGGCTGCCCCTGGATCCCTGGAAGTGTCCAAGGCCAGGCTGGATGGGGCTTGGAGCAGCCTGGGATAGTGGCAGGTGTCCCTGCCCATGGAACAATGTTGGCTTTAAGGTCCCTTCCAACCCCAAAGCAGTCTGGGGTTCTGGGATTCTCCACACCAGTGTTTGGCACCCTGGCTGGCGAAGGCCAGGAGTTGGTGCTGGAGGATGTGAGAGATGTGAGGGAGGGATTTGCTGCAGAGCCATCGTGTCCCACTGGTCCCTCTGCGTGGTCCTGGTTCCACTGGCTGGGGTGAGGCTCAGCCTGAGGGGGCTCCCTGTGGAGCAGACAGGGCTGGCTCTTGGGGTCCCCACTGGGACACAGCAGCAGAGGGGACCCCCAAAGGTCCTAAGCTCCTGTCCTGCAGGGTGGCTGTGAACACACCAGGCCTGAGAAAATGTGTCCGTGTATGTGTCCCTGTTTGATCCATGTGTGTCCTTGTGTGTGTCCCTGTCTCCTGTCCCTGTCTCTGCCATGCCTGGAGCCCTCCCTTTGTCCCCAAACATCCACATGGCTGCAGCCCCTGCAGAGGCTGGAGCATCCCCTCCAGAGCCATTGGCTTGGTGGCCCCTGGGGACAGAGAGGTGACACCCGGTGGGGGCTGCTCAGCACCACCCTGGCAGCCCAATCCCTCTTTGCAAGGAGCCATGGCTGCAGCCCTAGGGATGGGACAGGAGGGAATGGGATGGGATGGGATGGGATGGGATGGGATGGGATGGGATGGGATGGGATGGGATGGGATGGGACACAATGGCTCTGCAGCTCCCATGGAAGCAGTGCCACCTCTGCCTTGCAGCGCAACCATGAGCGCGGGCTCGATTGAGCAGGAGCCGTCGCGCAAGCTGGGCTGCTGCGGGGTGCCCCTCATCACTGAGGACATGCAGTCCCTGGCCATCCGCACCCTCTCGGGCACCGACATCACCAAGCACTATGACCTCATCCGAGAGCTCGGCAAGGGCACCTACGGCAAGGTGGACCTGGTGTCCCACAAAAGCACAGGTGAGGGGAGCGGGGCGGGTGCTGGCAGCGGGGTGCCCGGTCTGTCCCAGCCGAGGGCTCACCCCTGTCCCCTGCCCTCCACAGGCACCAAGATGGCCCTGAAGTTCGTCAACAAGAGCAAGACGAAGCTGAAGAACTTCTTGCGGGAATTCAGCATCACCAACACTCTCTCCTCCAGCCCCTTCATCATCAAGGTCTTTGACGTGGTCTTCGAGACCGAGGACTGCTACGTCTTCGCTCAGGAGTACGCCCCCGGCGGGGACCTCTTCGACATCATCCCGCCTCAGGTGGGAGCCCAGCACCTCCCGTGGGAGCCTCTGGGGGATCTGGGGGTTCAAGGGGTGCTGGGCTTTGTGCCCATGTGGGAGGGGGTGCAGGTGCAGGGACTGGGCACCCCTATCTGTGCTGGGCTTGACCACAAACTCCTCCAAACAAGTGTGGGACCCATCGCCCATGCCCTGGGTGGCCTAAGATCCATCACCTATCCCTAGGATGGCCTGAGACCCATCACCCTCCTCCTGGGGAAGCTGTGGCTGCCCCATCCCTGCAACGGTTCAGGGCCTGGCTGGACGGGGCTTGGAGCAGCCTGGGACAGTGAAAGGTGTCCCTGCCCAGGACGATGCTTAAGGTCCTTTCCAACCCAAACCATCCAATGGGGAGCCTGAGACCCACCACTCATCCCTTGGGTGGGCCATTACCCACCACCACCCCCTGCCTCAGAGCACCCAGATAAAAGCACCACGTCCATCAGACCACAGAGATGGGGGTGCCCGGGCCGGGTGGGACCCACAGCAGGTGGCTGACGCCGTGTCCCCCGCAGGTGGGGCTCCCCGAGGAGCTGGTGAAGCGCTGCGTGCAGCAGCTGGGCCTGGCCCTCGACTACATGCACAGCAAGAGCCTGGTGCACCGGGACATCAAACCGGAGAACGTGCTGCTCTTCGACCGCGACTGCCGCCGCGTCAAACTGGCCGACTTCGGCATGACCCGCAAGGTGGGCTGCCGGGTCAAGCGCATCAGCGGCACCATCCCCTACACGGCGCCCGAGGTGTGCCAGGCCGGCCGCGCCGAGGGCTTCGCCGTGGACACCAGCATCGACGTCTGGGCTTTCGGGGTGCTCATCTTCTGCGTCCTCACCGGGAACTTCCCCTGGGAGGCGGCGGTGGCGTCCGACGCCTTCTTCGAGGAGTTTGTGCGGTGGCAGAAGGGGCGGCTGGCGGGGCTGCCCTCGCAGTGGCGGCGTTTCACGGACAGCGCCCTGCGCATGTTCCAGCGCCTGCTGGCCCTCGACCCCGAGAAGCGCTGTCCCGTCAAGGAGGTTTTCTACTTCATCAAGTGCGACCTCATGGCCGAGGTGCGGTGCCGGCCCTCCTACCGCTCCCGCAAGCACGCCAGGGACAAGCTCCCGGCCGGGCCCCACTGCCACGAGGCCGCCGGCTCCTGCA